CCACTCAACTAAAGAAGACAGGAGTTATATATTTAAGTCTAGATTCCTCTGAAGCTCTCTCTGGGCAAAAAAAGCAAACTTTTGGTGTGACGTATTCTCTGGCATTCATGATAACTAAGGAGGCGAAGGAATCCTGCAACCTGGTTAGGATTGATAAGCCCAAAGTCACCCATTCTAAAATGAGGAATCCAAGATGAGGGGTAAAGACAGAAGAAATCCCAACAGCTGGGAATGAAGTTGATGGTGACCAGGAAGAATGGCCTTTTCCAAAATGTAATAAGTGCACGTAATACTCTGTCGATGAGCACAGCCGTGGATGTACGTCATTGTTTGGATTCATTCCCAGGAGCATGGTAAAAAATTCCTAAGGGCCGAAGTCAAGTGGGCTCAGTGAAAATGTACCACAAAGACCAGAGGGAAAGCTCTGGAAACTGCTGGATCATCAGATCAATAGACTCGAAGATGACTAAGTTAGGTTGCTTTATGCAGTTTAAACATTTGTACAGAGAGGCTCCCCACACAGCCTTTTATTGACAGCTACAGATCAATGGTAATTTTTTGATCATTTTCAACCTACATAAACCTATTGACCCCATGGCCACCTTTGGGGCACTTCAAGTCGTCAAAAATAATCAGAGGAGATGGTTTAAAATTGTCAGACTGCTGAAGACTCCAAGTAGTTTCATGTGCCCCAGGAGCAGAGTGGAGAGGTTAAAATGTAGTTCAAGTTGCCAACAGAATGTCAACTGGCAGAGTGTTCCAGAGACTCTTGTCTTTACGTCTCATAAAAGGACGCCCTGATTTGAATCCAGACTCCGAGGCTTCATGCATATAAGTTTAGAAAAAAGGCTAAGGCTCATTGGAAATACTAGATTGCTGAGAACAGCTTATTCCTGTTTGCTTTTGTTGAGTCACTCTTTTCATCCACTGCCTAGCAAAAGTAGTTAATACACTTCTAGAATAAAAAATATGTATGCTCGAAATTACACAATGTTATAAACCATTATGATCTCAATAAAATTACTGGAAAAAAATAAGAATAAGAAAATCCACTTTAGAGGGCTCTGGGGAGGATAAACTTAAGTTTTTAATGTTAAGTACTTGGCACAGTTCCTGGCTCAGACGTAGTGCTTAAGAAATGTTTATTGAATGAATAAATGAAATATAATATAAAAAACATATATATGAATATTATGTGGATGTGGACATGGAAAGGACAAAGAGAGAAGGGAAGGAAGTACAAGTTGGTAGCCCATAGGGAAGGGACAACAAAAACATATATCTCAAGGGGTCAGCCCCATGGCATAGGGGTTAAGTTGGATGCACTCCACTTTGGTGGCCCAGGTACACGGGTTTGGATCCCAGGAGTGGACCTGTACCATTCGTCAGCCATGCTGTGGCAGTGACCCACATGTAAAGTGGAGGAAGATCAGCACAGATGTTAGCTCAGGGCTAATCTTCCTCAGCAAAAAAAATATATATGTATATATATAAATATCTCAAAAGAATAGGTAGGATGGAAGGGTGAAGGTAAAGAGTAAGGAAAATAATGACAATGAAGGGGAAGAAGTAAGAGTATTGAATTAAGATAATTTCCATAGGGGAAGGAAGAAAGGGGGTGCACAGGAGCAAAAGGAAGAAAGACAGTTTTTTGTGGTGTTTTTTTGCTGAGAAAGATTAGCCCTGAGCTAACATCTGTGCCAATCTTCCTCTGTTTTTTATGTGGGTTGCTGGCACAGCATGGCTGATGAGAGGTGTAGGTCTATGCCCAGGATCTGAACCCACGAACCGGGGCTGCAGAAGCAGAGCATGCCAAACTTAACCACTAGGCCACAGGGCTGGCCCCGGAGGATGTTTTTTAATGATGACATTTACTAGTCAGTGTCACAGAATGCTACAGCCCCAAAGGAAGGAATTGAACCCAAAACATTTAAGATCAGCAGAGCTCAAGCAAATATTCTGAATTTAAGGAAAATAACAAGTAACTGGATAAATAAACAAGACACAACCCAATCCACAGAGGGAACTGTGCCCAGATTTTACAACAGGACTCTAAAGTAGTGAATTTTTGATGTTGAAAATCCATTCAGGAGAGAATGATAGAAATTCTTTCCTAAAATGTTGAAGAATAAATTGGTAAGGATCATTTTGCCATTTTAAAATTTTCTTTATTTTTTTCATATGGGCTTTACTAAACATTGACAAAAAGCGTGGCTATTAATGAGGTTTATTTAAGGGGTGTGTGTGTGTGTGAGTGTGTGTGTGTGTGCGTGTGTTTTGTAGCTCTTCAGAAATAACAAATTAGGAACTTGTTCCTATAATATAGGAACTTGTCCTCAGTATAAATTTATGATATAAAAATTCTCCTTTACATTTAAAATATGGGATCATTTTGGCACCAGGCTTGTGGTGCAGAGGTTAAGTCTGCATGCTCTGCTTTGGCTGCCCAGGGCTCACCAGTTCAGATCCCGGGTGTGGACCTAGGCACCGCTTGTCAAGCCATGCTGTGGCAGGCGTCCCACATATAAAGTAGAGGAAGATGGGCACGGATGTTAGCTCAGGGCCAGTCTTCCTCAGCAAAAAGAGGAGGATTGGTGGCAGATGTTAGCTCAGGGCTAATCTTCCTCGAAAATAAAATAAAATAAAATATGGGATCGTTTCTATGTTTTTAAAGATATAAACCAAATTAAGAAAAACAGCTGTTGTAATCACCTTTTGTAGGACCGGACCTTCAAACGTTTCTGTGCCAGGCAGGCACGAACTCTAACCTGAGATGTTCAGGTCATGTTTTTACATTAGAGGGTGAAGGTTTAGAGGCCAGGGCATTTTGAATACTTCTGCTTTCAAGGATCTGTGCTAGCAACGTTTATGAAAAGAATCTATAATGAAATCAGTTTTGTTATTTTTTAATGGTTGCCTGGAGTGTGTTGGATGACGAATGCCGGCAGTTAATCACTACGTCCTCATGTTACCAAAAGTGTTTGAGAGTATTGCCACCTAGGGGCTGAACGGAATTCTCAGCTCTGAAATTAACTGTAATTGAGCAGGTGCTGCTATTGACAATATACATATGTTTTTGCTTTATGGCCCACATGCTTTCCATGTTTCTTATGACAAAAGCTATCTCTAAATGTCCCCCAACAGCCTACCTTTTTTATATATAATCTGTTAGAGGTGATTACTATTTGCTTTGGAACTTATGCCTTTTTGGCATCTATCACTGAAGATTCTGAACAAAGAATGGTTCTTTTTTGCATTATTAATCTTGCCCATGTTTGCCCTATTTCCTCAGAAAAGGAATCATTTATCGGAAAAGAATGTTTGTAATCGAGACTTGTAGCATCTTCGATTTAATATTCATTATGGTCATTCTAGTTCTGTGCTATATTTATCTAAAAGACCAATCCAATGTTGTGGAGAAATAAGTTTTAAATATTTATGATCTAACTTTTAATATTTTAAAAAAGAGAAATTAGTATTTCTGTAAAATTTGTTTCAGAGTCGGCTCGCTTAGCAAATGTTTAAATATTAAAAGATTTCAAGAGGTTAGCATGTAATACCATAATGGGACTTATTGAAACAGGAAAATTGACTTTACAAGTTTTTGATAAGCAAAAGAAATTATGTTTTCTCCGCTTATGTTTAACACATAATAAGAAACATTAACACAGTTGAAACTCATAACCAAGAATGTGGGGAAACAGCACCAAAAATTACTTCTATGATGTGTTTTGGTTTTTCTAACCAATTTTGGGGGGAAATGGTTCAGTTTTATTTTGCCACCTTATTTTAGATTTTATTCAAAATGATAGCTGGAGCCCCTAAATTGAGGAGAATTTCCATCCACATAACTTTGTCTGATGCTTTTGGGTACCTTCTTTCAGAAATAACTTCCTCTTCTCCACCCCACATTCCTCCTCCGGTGCCCAGCAAGAAAAATGACAATTGAAGACTATCTGTCACATTTAAGCATCTAATAAATCAAGGCTAATCTTACACCCCACCAAGCATAAAAATCCTATGAAACCAGTCAAAACTTCCTCATGATTATTCCCATCCAGTGGGTATGGTACACAGCAGAAAGTGTCACCTATTTGTGTGTGTGTGTGTGTGTGTGTGCGTGTACCCATACACACATTACTGGTCCACCTTCAGACATAATTCCTATCTGGAAACAGATATCTCCATCCAGCCCAGATGTGGAAAAAGCACCCTTGGGCTCTTTCAAAATATTAGGATTCTTAGCCCCAATTCAGTTATGCGAAATGTGTTAAATGTTGCTCTCTAAGCAGGAAAAATCTAATTCTGCTATCCTATTTTTTTTCTTCTTTTAGATCAAAAAGACCAAGTTCTCAAAGCCTAGATGACAATTACTTTGGGTAATTTTCATGGTTTTAGTTACAGTGTTTTTAAGAAATGAGAATATTTTCGCATTTATATGAATACTAGATTTCTCTATGGGTGTTTCTGCATTTATAGTTCAGTTGGCTTGTTGTTATTGTTTTGTTGCATTTGTAAGACATAAACGCACACCAAGAAAATGGGAGAAGAAGATAGAGAGAGTCTTGGGTATAAACAAATAGTGTTGGGGATCAATGAAAGAGAATTAGGGTCATTCAGATTGAATCTCCAAACCCTTAAGATTATCCCATCATCTGCCGCGTAACTTGGTACCACTGATTTCCATCAGGAGCTGGATACAGCACTGACCTGAAGTATCACAGATTTTTTTATGTTCTACATCACATCCTTTGGGATGCAAGCTCTGAAAAGGCAAAGATTCGATCTGATCCACAGTTTGTGTGTGTCTGAAATCACGCAACGTTAAGTAATATATTCACGGCGTCAAGAGCAAGAAAATACCACATTGTTTTCTTAATCATTCAAAACTCTGCTGTGATATTTGTGCTGCCATCGCTAATGAATCTTGGTCAGAGAATGACCTTCTAACAATTGTTCGCAGTCTCTAAAAGAAAACTAACCTGTTCATTGTCTTACAGGGAACGAACCATGAAGCCCATCTCTTTGGGTTAGAACCATTCACAACGTATTACATTGGTGTTGTGGCCACAAACCAGGCAGGAGAAATTTCAAGCCCCTGGACTCTGGTTCAAACCCTAGAATCTTCTCCAAGTGGCCTGAGCAACTTTACAGTAGAACAGAAAGAGAATGGCCGGGCGTTGTTACTGCAGTGGTCAGAGCCTGCGAGAACCAACGGCGTGATTAAGGTAACTTCTACTCTGACTGTGAAATCATGTTTGCTGTTCTCCAGATAAATAGATGAGCCCTGACATGCCATCAGGTCACTGTGGGAAAACTCTCTTCACAGTCTGCTTAATTCTCCTTGATAGCTCCTCCAGGCGCTTAATCATAGATCACCGAAAACCAGCTCACGTGTGTTTATGCTTCCTCTGAACCCAACAATGGACTTAGTGCTCTCCATGGATTATCTCATTTAATCCTCACATCAACCCTACTGGGTAGGTACCACTAACCTTCATGAGCCATAAGGCTGGATAACTGCCCAAACCCACAATGCAAATGATCGAATTGGGATCTGAAGCCAGGAAGTCAGAGCAGAACTGAACTCTACATGACTGTGTTCTGACATCCTCCTGAATTATCCTGCCCAGTTATTGGCTTAAGCCTCGCCTCATCTGTGCTTTGAATGGAGCTCACTAACCAGAAGACAGGAAGCCCCACAGGTCTGATAACTCCCTGACCTCTGTGTGTAGCCTCGAGGAGCAGTCTTATGCGTGTCACACTTGTACCCAGGCTTCACCAGCCTGTGAGCACAAGTGAGGCTGACTTTTCATTATTATCCCACATTGTGATGCTTTGGACCATGAGCCACAGGGAAGCCAGCCCCCATCTCCCTTTCTGATGTTCCTCCCCAAGGGCATTGGCGACTCACCTCACAGTCTCTTACTGCCTCTGCTTCATCTCCGCTGGTCCTGGACCACCTCTTGGGCTCTCATCAACTGCCTTCTACAGGGAGGAACTGCAGAATTCCCCAGGCTGCAGCTGGCGTAGATGCTTTGCCTCTCCTTTACCCGTCCCTCTCAAGATGGCAAAGACACCTCCATTAATTTCACAAAGAACAGTTAAGACTAAGCTGTGACTTTGGAGAAAGCTTTCCTGAAAAGCCTATGAGGGGGATGACAGCAGAAAATTCCCTTCAGCAATGACTGAGAACAGTAACTAGAGCCCACAGGCCCCAGCCCAGCCTCATGGGCCTCCCTGTAGGCTGCCTCCCTGCTTAGTACAATGGCTGACTCTCTGCTACCTCCAGTCCGCTACAGGTAGCAGAAGCAAGCCGCTTTCTGCCACCCTGCCTGCATGTGACAGAGACAGACTTCCCTACTTTGGGACTAGAGGCAGGAGCCTTAGGACCCAGGACCTTCCAATCCAAGCCATAGCACGAAGGTATCCATCAGAGAAAAGAGTTTCTCCCCCAAACCCATCAAAGCTCCCCTTTTTGTGAGTGTTTCCTGTCCCAGAATCTGCCTCTTCCTGGCATGATTGACAATGGGAATATCTACTCCTTTTGCCTTCACTTACATTTCACCAAATATTTATTGAGCTTTTACTAAGTGCCTGGCATTTATTCAGGGGTAAACAAGACAGGCAAGGTTCCTGTTGTCACAGACCTTACGTGTTGTGTGTGAGTGTGCACGTGCGTGTGAATACATGAATGGTGGGGATACAGAGAAGCCAAAAAAGCTAGTAAACAAAGAATAAGAGAACTTCAGAGTGATGAATGCTATAAGGAAAATTAAACAGAATAATGTGATTATGCCCGCTCAGGCTATTTCAGAATGGATGATCATTTGAATTGAGTTGACATTTGAGCTGAGCCCTGAATGACAAGACAGAGTCAGTCATGTGAAGATAGGGGAGCAAAATGTTCCAGAAAAAGTGAACAGCAAATGCAAGGCCTGAAGCCAGGAATGAACTTGGTGCATTCAGATAAAGGGAAGAAAGCCAGTGCGGTTGAAGCATTGGGAGGGAGAGAAAGATGACACTAGAAGAGTTGGAGGGATGGGTAGGAGGTAGATTGTGCCCAACCTTCTGGGCTGTGATAAGGAGTTTAGAATTTATTCTCAGTGCAATGAAAACTACTAATGCAAATGAATAACATAATCAAATTTATGTTTTTCAAAATCATTCTGACTGCTATGGAGAAAATGGACTCTAAGGAGACCAGTGGAGTTTGGAAGCTATTAAAAATTCAGGGTAGAATTGATGGTGGCTTGAATTAGAATGGAAGTAGTGAAGGTAGAGAAACAGGAGTGGACTGGAGATGCATTCAGCAGGCAGAGATGACAAGGTTTGTTAAGAAATTGGTTGTGAAACATGAAGGAAAAGGGATACTTCAGGATGACTTCTGGGTTTTGGCCTTGAGTCATTGACTGGGAAGATAAGGTTGGAAGATGTGCAGGAGTGAGGGGGCAAGTAGGCCATTGCAGGTACAAGTCTAGAACTCTCGAGAGAGTTCTTCACTAAGATATATATTTGGAATTCATTAGCAGATGTGTGGTATTTAACTTCACGGTCCTGGAGGAGATCAGCTATGAGAGAATATAACTAGAGGTGATGAGAACCTGGGATCAAGCCCCGAGGAAATACAAAAATTTGGAGGTCAAGAAGAAGAAGAGCCTGCAAAGGAAATTGAGAAGAGGCATGTGAAGTGGGAGGAAAGGTAGACGAGTGGGAAGCGCCAAAAGTGAAGAGAAAATATGCCAAGTGCTGTTGACAGATCAAGTACAATGAGGGCCAAGAAGTGGTCCTGGATTTGGAAGCGAGAAGGTCATGTGATCTTGACAAGAAGGTCAAGTGATGAAGTGGGAAACCTGATTGGGATGGCTTGACGAGAGAATGGCAAGTGAAGAAAGGAGTCAGGCCACTCTAAAGTATAGATGAAAAGGAAAGCAGAGAAATGGGGCAGAGCTGGGGGACTGTGGTGTCAAGACGTTTTATTTAAAAATGAATGAAAGATACTAGAGTACGTTTAAACGCTAATGGAAATAACCCCGTAGAGGGAGTAAACTTGGTGTTGTAAGAGATAATGAGAGGAATTGCAGGAGTGAAACCTGTAGGAAGGAGGAGGGGAGGGGACCCAGAGTTCAGGTGGCCTTCAAGAAAGGCAGAGATAGTTCATCCATTGCAAAAGGAAGGAAGGCAAACAGTCTGAATCCAGATTCACACAGATATGGTGGTGATAATGTATAACATGAGAACATTCCTTTCTGACTGCTTCTGTTTTCTCAATGAAATATGTGGTCATGTCAACAACCACCTGTGGCGGAGGGAAGAAGATGTTGGTGGTCAGTGGAGAAAGGAGAAGACAAGAAATAGTCACTTCAGAAAATAAGAGAGCAAACATATAGGGGAATGGAATAAGATTACCAGTTGGTAATTGCCTACTTAAAATTTATGGTATGAAATTTAAAGTGAGAAATTGAAAGTCAGCATACTTGAGTGTTTTTCTCCAAACTCAGTTAGAAGCTAAGGTACAGAGGGAGAGCTAAATCTAACATGAGTTAGGGATTTACCAGGTGACTTTGAGGGGGCCAGGGAGTCATAGACGCTCCCAGAGTGATTATGGAGTCTGCGGTCTCCTCAGAAAATACACCATTCCCCTTCCCTCACGGGTGTGGTCTTGTCCTGGGACCCCAACAAGAAAATCACACCAAATACAACAGTCCGACATAAATAGATTTCCAAAAGTCTAGGCTATTTAATCTTCAGTAAAATTAAATTATATCAACAATTCAGTCCAAATTAAGCTTGCCAGGAGGCACCTCTGGGAATCTTTCAAGATGGATATACCTCCCAAGGGATTCTGATGTGTGTTCCCCACTTCTTGAGAGATGCCATCATAGGGAGTCACTACCATCTACTATCAAATCTCTCAAGTGCATTGAAGCAGGAAAAGGATGGGAAACCACTATTCAAAAACATCTCCAGGGCCGGCCTGGTGGCGCAGTGGTTAAGTTTGCACGTTCTGCTTCTCAGCGGCCGGGGTTCACTGGTTCGGATCCCAGGTGTGGACATGGCACACTTGGCAAAAAGCCATGCTGTGGTAGGCGTTCCACATGTAAAGTAGAGGAAGATGAGCACGATGCTAGCTCAGGGCCACTCTTCCTCAGCAAAAAGAGGAGGATTGGCAGTAGTTAGCTCAGAGCTAGTTTTCCTAAAAAAAAAAAAAAATCTCCAGGGGCCAGCCCAGTGGTGTAGGGGTTAAGTTTGCACTCTCCATTTGGGTGGCCAGGGGTTTGGGAGTTCGGATCCCAGGCACAGATTTACACACCACTCATCAAGCCATGTTGTGGCAGCATCCCACATACAAAACAGACAAAGATGGTCACAGATGTTAGCTCAGGGCCAATCTTCCTCACCAAAAAATATCTCCAGTGAAGTTCAGTTATTTCCCAACTTTCCCAAAGAACAATGAATAATATGGGATGAAAATTCACTCTACCTTTGTATGATGAATGTTCTGATGTTTTCCCTAGAACAAAAGAATACTTTGCTCCAAAGGAATAATCAATTCCTCCATGGCCTGCAAGAGAAAACAGGGTATTTTTTTCCATTTTCTAGTCATCAAAGTTTGTATCTATATTTTTGAATATGTATATAACATGTATGTGTATATGTGTGTGTGCCTACACACAGACACACATTTTTGGCCCCGGCACCCTGGTACAAATGCTTAAGCCTTATAATTCCATTTCCCAGTAAATGCCTTGGGAGATGCACAATAGAGATGGGTCCTACTTACCCTACTCAGGATGAGATCAGAAGCACTTAGTAGCTATAAAATAGGGCATTTGAATACCAGGAATACTATTCCCTATTTTTAAAAAATGAAAATAGGAGGAAACCCCATGAGCACTCTTTAAGTCAAAGAATCACGTTCAATAGCCCTTAGCTTTTAGATATATGCTTACATGTTATCAAAACTTAAAAAAAAAAAAGGGCAAAGAAAACCTTTTTCATCTTCCTGTGGACTTTACATTAACTGGAAAAGATCACATTCCCCAAATTAATATCAGAGGTTTTTTTTTTGGACTGGGGTCATCAAGATGAGGGACAGAAGGGGGAAAAGGTTAAAAGGGATGAAATAGCCACACCAAGAAATCATATGCTCCGAATTATTTCCCTTGGTTCTCTTCTTCCTCCAGGAATATAACATCTTCAGTGATGGCGTTCTGGAGTACACTGGCTTGACTCGTCAGTTTCTCTTCCGGCGCCTGGAGCCTTTCACTGTCTACACGCTGACCCTGGAGGCCTGCACCAGAGCAGGCTGCGCCCACTCAGAGCCCCAGCTTCTGTGGACCAATGAAGCTCCTCCCCACTCTCAGTTGGCTCCTAAGATCCAGTCCGTGGGGGCCACCAGTGTGGAGTTGAGCTGGTCTGAGCCTGTTAACCCAAATGGAAAGATAATTCGTTATGAAGTGATTCGCAGATGCTTCGAGGGAAAAGCTTGGGGGAATCAGACAATCCAGGCCGATGAGAAAATTGTTTTCACAGAATATAATACTGAAAGGAATACATTTATGTATAATGACACAGGTTTGCAGCCATGGACGCAGTGTGAATATAAAATCTTCACTTGGAATTCAGCAGGTCATACCTGTAGCCCTTGGACTGTGGTAAGGACGATGCCAGCCCCTCCAGAAGGTCTCTCTCCTCCAGAGACAGCCTATGTATCAATGAACCCCCCAAAACTGCTGATTTCCTGGATCCCACCAGAACAGACTAATGGGATCATCCAGTCCTATAGGCTTCAAAGGAACGGACTGCTCTATCCTTTCAGCTTTGATGCTGCGACCTTCAATTACACCGATGGAGAACTGCTTCCATTTTTCACATACAGTTATGCAGTCGCAGCGTGCACGAGTGGAGGCTGCTCCACCAGCAAACCCACCAACGTCACAACTCTTGAGGCTGCTCCCGCAGGGGTTGGCCCTCCAGCTCTTTGGGCCATCAGTGCCACTCAAATAAACGTATCTTGGTCACCACCATCAATTCAAAATGGCAAGATCACTAAATATTTGCTTAGATTGGATGATAAGGAGTACCTCGCCGGGCAGAGTCTGTTCCTGTTGGTTTCTCACCTGCAGCCTTATACTCAGTATAATTTCTCCCTAGTAGCCTGCACGAATGGTGGTTGCACAGCTAGTGCGTCAAAATCTGCCTGGACAAGGGAGGCCCCACCACAGAACATGGACCCTCCAAAATTGCAAGTCACGGGCTCAGAGTCAATAGAAATCACCTGGAAACCCCCAAGAAACCCAAACGGCCAGATCAGAAGTTATGAACTTAGGAGGGATGGAGCTATTGTATACACCGGCCTGGAAACTCACTATCACGATTTTACTCTCACCCCAGGTGTGGAGTATGGCTACACAGTGACTGCCAACAACAGCCAAGGGGGTATTTTGAGTCCACTTGTCAAAGAGCAAACCAGCCCCTCAGCACCCTCAGGGATGGAACCTCCAAAACTGCAGGCCCAGGGTCCCCAGGAAATCTTAGTGAACTGGGACCCTCCAGTGAGGACAAATGGCAACATCGTCAACTATACCCTCTTTGTCCGTGAGCTGTTTGAAAGAGAAACAAAAATCATACACATAAACACAACGCATAATTCTTTTGGTACACAGGCATTCATACTAAACCAGCTGAAGCCATTTCACAGGTAGGTGGCCAGCTCCAGGTTGGCTAAGAGCAACCCACTGTCTTTTGTGTGACATCCAGTCAGTTCGAATGAAGATACTAAAAGCAAGATGCGTGACGTCCCCAACCCCCATCCACTTAACCATCCACAGTGGACTAACCACATCCTCATCCAGCCAAAACTTGCTCGCATAACTTCTGGAAAGTAAAATTCTTGCAAGTGACATTTTGAGAGTCAGTTTTTCAGAAATGTTGGCCACCCACGATGTCTGGAACAAGTAGCACAGAGATGGGGCCACTTCCCTGAGTCTAGTCTTTCCTGGAAACATGCAGGCCCCTGGATAGTTCTGAGAGCCCAATGGGGATATCTGACCCAGGCTGTGAAGAAAATGAGGTATTATTTTAGAGGATGAAAAACGTGCCCGTCAATGAGAGCTATTACCAGCCAGAGGTGGACTAATTCAAAAGTCATTTTGGGGACAGTCCTTCTTATTAAATCCAGTACTTCTTCTGGGATAATAAGATCCTCTGACTCTATTTCCTCAACCCCTTAGGATTCCCCCAGCTCTGACCTTGTGGTTTCTCAGGACGTGCCACCTTGCTAGCTCATGTTTTCTCTGTGGTCCCGTCTGGGTTCTCTGCCCTGCAGGGATGCGTGTTGCTCTCCACATGAATAAACCTTACCAGCAGCCCTCTTCCTATAGCTTAAAAAATTGCTTGACGCTTTTCCCCATCACATTTTAAGTAACTTATATCCCCAGAGAGAAGAGTAATAAAGGACATTTTATGCTTAAAATTTAGTAAAATGAACAGAACCACTTAAAAAAATTAAAGGCTGAAAGAGTGTTGATTTCCAACCACCAGTGGTAAAATTCAGCTATTATTGTAATCTACTGGTGTGTAGATTAGACCCCTCCTGTAATTATCTCTGATATATGGTGCTGTTTAAATGAAACATTCATGATCTGGTGCATCTACTCATGACAATTATTTAGGGTCACATTAAATATTAAACAGTAATTAAAACTTCCTCAGGTATCTTCCATAGCTAATCCACATGCTATGTGAGTTGGCTTTTATCTTACTCTGATTCAGGGCATAAAAAGACCCACTTTAGCTGCAGAGCTGTACATTTTAACCGGCTTCCTCTTTACCTGACTGGTACCTACAAGTTTTAAAAATCATATCAACTGGCTCCTCTTTGAAACTCTTGTTTTAAAAGATTTCTAAAGAAGGAAAAGGTTGCCAGATCTGAGGGGGGCACTTTTCCCAAGCTGAAAAAATGAAAGTTTGATTTATCTGATAAACCTAACAGTAATATTTAAGGCAATAAGAGGTGTCTCTTCATTATCCACAATAATCGAAAATATGAATGACATGAATGACTTTAAAACAATATCACTTCTATATGAGGTTGGGGTTCACATAGTTTTAGGTTTTTCTAGCAGATTAATGTTTATTGAATATTGCAATTGGTATGTCCTCCTTGGAGCACCCTGACGCTGGTCAGTAGGTAGAAGTAGCCTGGGAATATTTTCACCAGCAGAAAGAATCTGACCCAGAATTTTAAAACCAGCACAGGTAATCCAGAAAACAAATAATCCATATGTGGAAGTAGAAAGTGACTTCATAGGATTGCTTAGAAGTTGGATCGGCCATACATAACTATGGATTTGTTCACCAATAAACTGTTGGCCCATCATGGGAGAGATGGGCATGAGAGGAGAAAGAGGGAAGGAAAGCAGAGAAAGGAAAAGAAAGACGTCACAAGAAAGAGCGAAGCATATTTAAGAAGAGAGGAAGGGGAAAGAGAACGAAAGCAAGTAAGAGAACAAAAAAGCAGTGATTAGATGTGGGGAAGCAGGAGATAGAAGAGGAAAAGGCCAGAACCAAAAGAAATAAAGGGAGAAAGAAAAATGGCTTGTTCTAGAAGGAAAAGTGGGATGCCATAAATTCAGTGGGGCATGGGAGCAGAGAAAAAAGCACTCATTTGCAGCTATAGGCATTTCATACTCACAAAAGCCCCTTTTGCTGGCAGAGAAAAGTCCCTGCTATGTAAATAGACCTCTCCAAGTGGCAGGAGACCAGCTATGGGGCAAAACATAACTGATTGGTTGAGTTTAACTGGATGGTGATAAGGTGTCCCCATGATTGATAATCTAGGGCGTAGCTGGGTTAACTTTGGCCCCAGAAGGTCTCTGTGTGGTGTAAGAGAGCCCGTTTAAGATGTCAGGTATCAGGAGACGGCATTTATTACCACTGAGACCTTAACTCCATGATGTCCCTTCATGACCTGGAAACATTCCTGGGAAATTATTCAGCACTAGCTGCAGAGGAAGGAGGAGCCCTGGGCTGCCGAAGACTCCTTCATACTCCCCAAGATCAGCATTCTTCATCGCTTTAAATAATCCTTCAAAGTATCGGCACTGTCATGCTGGAGAGAATCTCGAAAGTGTATTTATTCCGTACATTCCTGTTTAGGGAAGAATTGGGCCCACCCTTTCCAGAAAGATGAGAATCTTAGCTTCAGTTTGGAAAGCCAGGAGGATTTAAAATATTCTAAAATTTCTATGGAAATATGACTTCCTTGCTTTTTAGAAGACTTACTGATAGATAAGAATAAATGTAAGATTTTTTTCCCCAAAAACTCTTGCTTTTGAAGATTCCTCCAATGCAAATCTATTTTGCCACTCATGGGTATTTCTGCCTTGTGTCCTGAAGGTATGAAGTACGAATTCAAGCCTGTACCACACTGGGGTGTGCATCAAGTGACTGGACGTCCATTCAGACCCCTGAGATTGCACCCCTGATGCAACCCCCTCCACATCTAGAGGTCCGGAGGGCTCCCGGGGGATTCCAGCCCACGGTTTCCCTTTTGTGGACAGGACCACTTCAGCCAAATGGAAAAGTTTTATACTATGAATTGTACAGAAGACAAATAGCGACTCAGCCTGGAAAACCAAATCCAGTGCTAACCTATAATGGAAGCTCGAGCTCTTTTATGGATTCTGAACTATTGCCTTTCACAGAATATGAATACCAGGTAAGAAATTGGTCTTCTCAACAATTCACACTGAGATTGCGTGCACCCATTAGCACCAGCCTGTAAAAATTGCTTCCAACTTGAAAAGCCACTTAAAGAAACATGGGGCTTAAGGAATTTAATAATATTCTTCAAAAATTTTTCAGAGGCCAGCCCAGTGGTGTAGTGGTTAAGTTTGCTCGCTCTGCTTCAGTGGCCCGGGGTTCATGGGTTTGGATCCCAGGCACAGACCTACACACAGCTCATCAAGCCGTGCTGTGATGGCATCCCACATACAAAATAGAGGAAGATGGGCACAGATGTTAGCTCAGGGACAAGCTTCCTCAGCAAAAAGAGGAAGATTGGCAACAGAAGTTAGCTCAGGGCCAATCTTCCTCACCAAAAAAAAAGCAGTAAATAAGGGAATAGAGATCATATTAATTTGCCTTTTTCATTTTCTTGGTTCTTGATCCATGTGACGTATGCTTGTTATTCCTAGGTAAATTTCAGGTGACGTATTTGCATTTCTTGTTAATGAAGTGGTTTCTACCAATAAGCTTCCCTCTATCAGTGTCACATTGGTAGGAAATATCCTTGTTAAAAGGTCACTTTGAAAATAACTCATTAATTGTACCAAGAACAATAAAATCTAAAGGCAAGCATCTCCAGCCCCCACGCTCCAGAAAGACATGGAGTGTTGAGAAAAGTCTGGAGGAAAACCATTAACCTGTGCTTGGAGATGAAGTGAGCCTTCTATGAGGACAGCCTAAACAATAGGACTTTGCATATCCCTGAAAAGCCAAGAATTAAGAGAAATATTCTGGGACCAGCCCCATGGCTTGGCACTTCAGCAGAGTGACTCCGAATTTTAAAAGGTGGAGATGAGAAGTCCTGATAAAACATCCCTAACCTCATCCGAAAGCTTTGCTTATCTCTGCTATTTCCAAGTATGGGTCTTCAATTGTTCTTTTAATTCCATACACTCCCAATAAATCCCCTTTTGCTTGAGTCAGAATCAGTTTCTCTTGCTTGCAGTCAAAGGAACCTTGCTGACTGATGCCAGCACTAAGTGCCAGGCATGACGCCAAGGGCAACTTTCAAAAAGGGGAAACTGAGCCTTGAAAAGCTTACCATCACCAGAAATGATGAAATCACTAAGTCACCAGGAATATGGAGAGCAAATCAATGAGCACAATGATTAGAGGTAACATTTTAAGTGTGAGAAAGAGTATATTTTAGGCCAGTAACATATGGACAAATTACCCAATGAGTTAGTAAGAACTGAAAAGATAAATAGATTCTTGAATGGCTTGGAGAAATACACAGAATGTAAACGCATAATCCTTTGTTTGCAATTCCAAATCTAAAAATCTCTTAAAAACAAAAGTTTTTTCTAGATTTGGCACAAGTCATTTGGCAGCAAAATCCAATCTAAACAAATTTGAGACTGCTTATAGCATTTATTTATCCTATTTAATGTGAATATTTACATGTTTTACTTCAGAAATATTGTGTTTTATTACAAGATCATTCTTGGGATATTACAAAATATACAGTACACGCATTTTACTACCTTTCCAAAATCTGAAAGAACAAAATTATTTTAAAACACATGGGGGTGGGGGCTGGCCCCAGTGGTGCAGTGGTTGCGTTCACACATTCTGTTTCAGGGGCCCGGGGTTCGCCGGTTTGGATCTCAGGTGTGGACCTACACACCGCTTGTCAAGCCATGCTGTGGTGGGTGTCCCACATAAAATAGAGGAAGATGGGCACGGATGTTAGCTAAGGGCCAGTCTTCCTCAGCAAAAAGAGGAGGATTGGCAGCAGATGTCAGCTCAAGACTAATGTTCCTCAAAAAAAAAAAAAAAACACATCAGGGGCTGCCCCATGGCCAAGTGGTTAGGTTCTCGCACTCTGCTTTGGCAGCCCAGGGGTTTTGCCGGTTCGGGTCTTGGGCATGGACATGGTTCCACTCATCAGGCCACACCGAGTTGGCATCCCATATAGCACAACCAGATGCACTCACAACTAGAATATACGACCATGTACTGGGGGCTTTAGGGAGTACAAAAAGGAAAAGACAAAAAAAAAAAGATTGGCAACAGATGTTAGCTCAGGTGCCAATCTTTAAAAGAAAAAAAAAAATTAGAAAAACAATCAGGCCCCAGGGGTTTAGGGCAAGCGTTGTGGTTTATGTTACGAAGGAACAAAATACCTTATTGATGCCACAGCTGGAAACAGAATACTGTTAGAAATTGCCAGAATCTATGTGGCCATCCTTTTGTTCTTTTCTCATTATCTTTACTGAAAAGTGTCAAGTTATCAAAGACCCATCTATTCTCAATTATCTAGTCTCCCTTATGAATAAAAACGTCCCTTTGTGAGAGAACTGGCTGGAATCAGCATGAAATCTCTGGCCTCTAATTAGACAAATCTAAATGACCCACAGATACTGAAAGCAAACCAGTGATTTCAGCTTCTTTGGCACCGTGTTGTGTCATTGGGTTAAATAATTGGCCACATGATGTGTAGAAGTCTCATGTCAGTTTTCTAAGGAATGGTTAACTCCAAGGATGTGTCTTAGCTCAGTTTTCTCACCAGGAGCTAAGGACAACCAGAAACCAAGGGACCCACATTTCAGAGGGGACATGCCTTACGGACCTCTGGCTATGCTGCCCTTTTGTAACTGTTACTATCAGCTCGGTGTCATCCTTCTCCATACTCATTCCACCCAAATGGAAGTATTTAATTTGGTTCTTATCACAAACTGATCTCAAATTTGCATTTGCCAGCTAATCCCATGTTGTTACAACATAAGAAGGATAGAGAGCAGGAAAAGAAAAAAAAAAAAACTAGCCTATCGGCTCTAAAACTCAGTTCTTACAGGAAATATTTTGAAAAATATAGATTAAATGCTGAAATAAAGGACCTAAAATATTGGATTTATTTAGCCTGTGTAACTTGTGAGTCTCTATAGACCCTGAATAATGTCACAGAAGTCATTTAGCAAGGAATATAGCAAAAGAATTGGTTTTCCCTTAACGAAAGAACATTTTTGCCTTTGAGATGAATTTGCATGGCTCTCAAACCTGAAGGTTACTCCATTCTCAAGCTTCCTTTCAGAAAACATCTTCACTGTCCTAGACACTTCGGTTCACCCAACATCTGTTAGTGGTTTGAGCCTTCTGCAGAGGATTATGTTTTTGAGGTAATCCGTATATTTGTAGGGAATAAAAACAAAGAACTGAGAAACCGCCCAGAGGTGTGGACTGATTAACTAGAAGGGTGGTGACAATCTGTGGTTGGGGAAGTGGCCATCCACATGGTTTGCCTTCTAGGTGTCAGATGTCCTTCTCCGTCACTCTCCTCCATGGCCCTACATCATTGTATTCATTTCTGGTTTTGGGTTGAATCGTTGAAGTCAGCTGCCAAAATTTAGTTATGTGGGAAGAACAAGATAGCATTCCATAGTCTAAATTAATTCATCGATCAGTTGACCAGTGATAGAGCTCTGGGAGAAAAGGATGTAGTGTGGATAAATTCTACTGGACAAGAGGGTCAGGAAACATCTGGAGAAAAGGATTCTTACAGAAAGAGAGGGGGGAGTTGCTCGCCTTGGAGGGCGAGGACCAGCAAATGTCGCTTACCTCACAGCCATTCACATAACCAGCTTGGTAGCTAGTGTGGTTGAAGGTGGGCAAACGCTATGTGATATTACAGGCACCTTCTCAACACTGAATGCCCTAAACGGGGTGGTACCCAGTGTTTATAGCACAGAAGGATTACCCAAAGAGCGTGTTCAAAGTGCAGATTCCAGGGTTGGGGTGGGGATTCCCAGAAATCTATATTTTTCACAAGCAGCTCGGACGATCCACAACCCACTTTTTCGACATATACTGCCCCGGAGGGTACAGCATCGTTGCTATGCTGCTTAAGCCCGATTTTCAAGTGGTGATTTCCCAAATCAGTGGTTCGCAGCCCTGACTGCACATTAGAATCACCCCGGGAACTTTAACAACATTCCCAACGCCCAGGCCCCATCCCGCTGGAGTTCCACTTCTGGGCTGGGTCCAGGCATCAGTGAGTTTCAAAAGGTCCCCAGGTGACTCTAATGTGCAGCCAGGGTTGAGAATCACAGTCCCCAACCGTTGTAAACTGATTGCCTAAATAAGTGAAGCCAGCTCCCCAGGAGTCCCTAATTTACATGATGAGAATTGATGACCAGCCTGTTTACCTTGGTCTAGCCATGGCTTTCCTCAACAAGAGTCCTGTTGTTTCCGTATGAAGCTGGAGGGGAAACGGAATATATTATCTGCAAAGTTCATGTCTCAACTCATCGTATAATTTCTTTTTCTCTTCCTCGTGGATTTAGTTTGCTTCTTTTGTCGTTTCCTATTGTTTTGTTTCTCGCTTGGGGGGCCTGGTCTTTAGTGGTAAGAAGAACATTCACCATCATTTAAAATGAGATTTTTGTAGTTTGATTCATTTCAACACAGCTTCCAGAATTCTAGGATTCGGAACTATCTGAAAGATCAGCTTTAATAAGACCAGTAAGATCTGAAATATGAATCATAGAAATTTGGACACATTTTTTTATTTTTGCCAGGAAGATTAGCCCTGAGCTAACATCTGTGCCAGTCTGCCTCTATTTTACGTGGGACGCTGCCACAGCATGGCTTGAAGAGCACTGCTAGGAGCACGCCCAGGGTCTGAACCTGCAACCTCTGGGCCACAGAAGCAGAACACTCAAACTTAGCCGCTCTGCCACTGGGCCAGCCTCTTGAAGTTTTTTTTTATTTTTATGTTTCACAGGGATGGATGGATGGATGGATGGATGGGGTGGCTTTGCAGAGCGATGCAGTGGAGGGTCCCATTAGAGATTCTCAGTGAATTTCAAACACAATTTAGTTTCCCAAAACCTAATTCTCACACAACTCTGTAAATGTGCCATTCCTACATAAATGAGATGCCTCTTTACTAAATGAAATTCTTCCAGTGTATAGACCTTTTCCCTGAATGGA